AATGCAACAAAACCCTCTCTTCATCTCCAACTCTGCTACCCTCTGCTGTATGTAATCTAAGATGAAGGGTACTTGTCTGTTTAATTGCTCTTTTCAGAGCCCCTTACATCGTCTACCTCATGAGTTGACCAGATCTGCATGCAATGTGACAAATACAGAGGCATAGTGTTCTCAGTACCACATTCAGTGTCCCCTTCCTAATAACTGCCAAGACTCTGTCTGCACCCATTACCTCTACCTCACAGGAGCAGATGCTGTGTCTGGATGCCCACAAAGGCTCTAGCACTTCTGCCCTTAGCAATGCTGGCATGGTGGTGTGGATCCTGCTGGTTGGCTTTCTCCTGGCTTCAGATGAATTAATAATGGATTTTATGGGTCTTTTTCTTTTTTTTCCAAATTAGTCAGTATTTTCAGATCCTTTTGCTATTCTTTACAATCTTTATTTTTTATTAGCCTTAATAATTTTGTACTATCAGTACTTCTTCATGTGCATTCAAACCTCACTTGAAAGACCTGGAAATATACTGAGCAGATCCAGTAATCTTCCACTGTGAAGACTGGCCTTGTGCTTCGTTTCGTATTATAAACAGCTACTGATCAATATGAATACCTTCTCTTTTGCCCTTGGCACTTTACCAAATACCTTTGAAACTGAAAAGCACAGTGGCTCATTCGTTTGAAACCCCATGTTCCTTAACTCTTTCAAAGAGACATCCTTTTCCTCAGCAAAAAAAACTAGACAGCTCTTCCTCAAGACACTGTACATATCCTCCTTCCCTTCTTCCAGCTGAGATCACTTAAGCTTTATCCCAGCTCCAGCCCACAGCTTGGTACAGAAATCTACCAGAGTGACCACTTCCTGTATTCCCAGGGAACGTTTTCTTCAGTGCTGGCAAGTGTCACCTGCTCCATCCCTGGCCTCTCGTCCTTGCAGCCAGCAGACTATCAAAAAGCCTGAGGATGATATTGCAAGTAACTTTTCAGCAATTCTACTGTGTTTTCTTTGCCTGGACACAGTGTACAAATTTATGGAAGACACATTTCTAACAGTTTTCTTCATTGAGTTTCTTATCTGTGCTGAGGTATTTGCTTTTATTTTATTTGGTTGTATATGTATTTTAAGCCTCTAATGAGTTAATTCAAACATTCTTCATAACATCCTGATGTATTTACCCTGATGGTCCTTTTAATATCTTTATAGAAATCAGGCTTATTCTAATATTCTTCTTTCGAAACAAAATGTGGTAGGCTCTTGTCTCTTCCACCGCTACAAGAATATTGAATTTGAAATGTTAGAACCAATATAACAGAGCATCTTTGTGACAGCTGACATCTTGAACTACTTGAACCCATGCTCAGCACTGAAGCAAGATTTGCCTTTTTTTCTCTTATTAAGTATCAGGCAAATTCCTGGAAGAAACCATCATCTATGCTACCTAAAATATAGTCCCAGTACTGTGTTCCATTACGCAATTTATTTAGCCCTAATGGAAGCAGCTGAAACCTTCCATTATGATTCTGTTTTCTGCCACTACAGCCCCTGTGACTTTGTTTAGAAGTGAATGTCACCATTCGGTCAAGAGGTTGTTTGTATACCTGAATCCTCTGCTCTTCCCACTTGAGAAAGGAATGTCCGGTCATCGAGCTTCTGTGGCACTTAATGAAACAGTTCAAATTCAGTGCAATATTTTCTTCTGCATTTGCAGTAGGCAGTCTATAGATTATACCATACTAAAAGACCATTCAGCTGCACAGTTTTTTTTAATTGCTGTCAACATACAAGGCACTGCAGGTCAGCAAGGGTGAGTTATTACCTGCAGTCACTGCATGAGCAAATTCTGCAGCTGTTGAATCTAGCAGAGACTGATGCTGAGCTCTTAGCCTCATCCCTTACCCACATCTCACAAGGAGATCACCAGCTCTTTTCACATCTATCCACTAACACTAGCTAAGTGTGACCAGAACAGACAATGAAAACTACTGTGTGTGCGCTTTGTGGTTACTATCACAGCAATCACATTAAATTACACATCATATGGAGATGTGTGTGGGAAGTAGGAGGATTTGGACCCTCTTTTAAAGATAGAATGATTTCCACTGTAACATACCACTGCTTAGACTGGTGAAGGCAGAGCACATAGTTGACTCTGCAGGGACTTTGGGAGCATACAGGTTAAATTTCTGCAGCACTGCATGCACACAGCACACAAGGTAGCAGCAATCATGAATGGGAGCCCAAACCTAGTTACTGGCTCCCCAAGAGAAGGCCACAACCCCTCTGTACCTACAGCAGCTGCTGCTTTTTGGCAAAAGTACAAATAGCAGAAACAATCCCAGAGAGGTGCTAAAAGCAAAGAATCGATCATTATTGCTGCTTCAAGCTTGGGGAAAGGGATAAACACACTGTAATAAGTGCCAGAATTTTACAACTGCTCTTTCCCTGCAGGGAATAAGCCTGTCCAATCCTTGCCAGCTAAGCAGAGGTCAGGGCCGTGCCAGAGGAAGTAGCTACCATTAGCAGAATGAAGAACAGATCAGATTTGTCAGTGGGATCTGTCTGAACTAAATAACTGGTTGAAATAAGAGCAGCTAACCACTGTTGCAGCTGATGCAGTTCCTCAAGCATTTTGGTTTCTTAACAGAAAAACAGTATGTTTCAAGCCCCCAGACAAGGCACTGCAGTAGTTAGCCTGAAAGAGCCAGTCTGTCCTTGGAAAAATGCATGTTACTGGAACTGCCACAGCACCACACATTTCAGCTGTGCATGAGCCGTACCCCAGTGCCCATGATGCTGATAAAGCCCATCTAGGCCAGGGCTCACCCAGCCTGGTGGGGCTGTCATGCCAGTTCATGGGACTTGGTCCTCCTCACTCGTTAGCTCTCTGAGCAGCCACTGCGAGTTGCTTGAATGCAAGAAGACTCTAGAAGTAAACGCAGACTAAAGTTCCCACAGAAAAAGTTTATTCCTGGAGGGTGGTTTATGCTGTGCAGAAAGTGGGATTGAATTATTTCAAACTTTATTTAAATCCTGCCTAACATTACTGTGAATATCCCCTTTGCCAGTCTCAGTGTATAGCAATTTTTCCAGCCGAGCTTGGTTGCTGGCTGCCAGGCCATCCCATGGAGACAAACTCCACAGGCTGTGCACACATTGCTCAGAAGGGCTCTTTTGCATCTTGCTTACTTGCTGCTTTGCATTTCGGCTAGCACTTCCTGTCATGACATGTTGTGACTAATGGTACTGGTTTCAACAGTCCTGATGCTGAGAAGGGGCAAAATACAACCCTGAGATCCCTATGCATTGCCAGGCCTGATTTTGCTCAGGCGCAGGGCTAGCTGGCCTGCAGGAAAAACAACGGGCTAGAGAAGCAAGTTCTATTCTTTGTTCCCCCATCATGTGTAGACACTGCACAAAGCACACCCAGGGCATTACTTTAGAGCAGTGTTTGTCTTGTCAGCAGCAGAATTAAACTTTGCTGTGATCCAATTCAGTAAAAAAATAGAAAAACCTTTCTCTATGGCTGCTGTTGGACATGGCAGCTGTGGTATGACTGTGTGCCACTTGACTACGCATAACAGCGTTAGGCTATTACACAGTGTGCTACCCTGGAATAAAACAACCACTCTGCCAGGTCATGCCCACTGTGGGAGTGAAGTTCTTTATATTTTTCTTTTTTAAAAAAAGTAAAATCTGGGCCAGCTCCAGAAAATGTTATTGAATTAAAATCTGTGGTGCAAAGAAACCTAGAGATTGCTCCAACCTGTTCTGATGACTCAAGGCTCAGGGCCCCTTTTCTTTCCCCTTTCATTCGGCACTTTCTAGTCTCTTTACACAGCACATTTTTGTTTTCTACCTTCACCAGTACTGCCACACAGGAATGCTACAAGAATCCAGAGGGATAGGGCAGTGGGACACAGACAAGGAGCCTATTTTTAAAATGTATCTTTAAGACTGCCCAGTGCAAATGTCTTGAAGAAAATCCCATCTGTCATTTTACAGGAACAGTATAACAAAGGAGCAATTTATGATGTACAAAGGTCTGAAGACACAGCTCATCCACAAGTACCTCTCTGCTCTTTTGCTGGTCATCTTCTAACACACAGTCTCTTCAAGAAGCTTCCTCTTTCAAATGCATCTTGCTTATGAACAAAAAGATGATGGAGGTTTTTTCCTAGTTTTGTTTTGTTTTATTTGCTTTTCTAATAACCAGGAATAGTACAGAAATGTGGTGTCATTTTTTTTCTCTTGCTATCTAGGTGGTTACAAGGACAGCTCTTCATGTCTGTATTTGTTTTTGTGGGCTAGCAACACCATCATTTAGATCACCTGTGCTATGGTGTGGTGTGATACAAAGGAGCCAAAAATCAGACCCTCTCTCTTAATTTATATCACAGGAATATCATTTATATGGAGCAGAGAGCTGGAATAGCAAACCTGCTCCAGTGTGGCCGGTTGATTTATAAGGTGGCATAAACACACAGTGCCATTCTGAGGCTGAAGATTACTTTGGTTTGCTGCCCCATTTCCATTAGCATTATGTCACTTGAGAATTATTTAGTGACATCCCCTTTTCCCACACAGCTGTGCAGTCAGAGCTCACTTCCCTAGTTCTGTGTGTGCTGGTGCTGCCCTGGTGCCACCAGCTGCTCGCCCTGGAAAATCACCTTATTCTTTCAAGTAGTCTCACCTGAATCATAGAGCCATAGAATGGTTTCGGTTGGAAGAAACCTTAAAGCTCATCCAGTTCCAACACTCCCTGCCATGGGCAGGGACACCTTCCACTAGACCAGGCTGCTCAAATCTTCATCCAGCCTGGACTTGAACACTGTCAGGGATGGGGTAGCCACAGCTGCTCTAGGCAACCTGTTCCAGTGCCTCACCACCCTCATAGAGAATGGATTACCTAAATGCACAGCAAGGAAAGCCACCCCTTTGAAGACAACACTTTTTTGTTTGTTAGTTTGTTTGTTTGTTTGATGTTTTGTTCCTTCTGTTTCAGTGGCCTGGCTGGTCCTGAGTGAAATTTTCCCTGGTGGCATCAGAGGACGGGCCATGGCTTTGACATCTAGCATGAACTGGGGTATAAATCTCCTCATCTCCTTGACATTTTTGACTGTAACTGGTAAGATTTCTCTGTGTCCTTCCAAGTTAATATTCTCCTAGTGGACAAAATGAATGTTTCCCATACGAACATCATTGCTAAAATTGCAGTTGTGGCGCCTCAGGAAGCAGATTAAGATTCCATTCAGTTTGTTAGTGTAATGTCACTGTTTCTAGCACACCCTTTGAAGCCTCATGGTGCTAGCCATCAGAGCACCTTGCATATCTACTCCACAGGCTGTAAAACCCAGCTCTTAAAAACACCCTTGCCTTAGTAGTAGGTTGAAAATATATGTTTTAGTCATACATCTTCTGAAGTCAATGGAAGTTCTGATCGGTATCAGATTACAGCTTTTCTGATCAATATGTTTAAAGCAATCCCATTGAAATCATTCCTTTTCACGCTAATGGCCTGGCTTTGAGGAAATTTCTTTTTGAAAAAGGTGTCTTTGTAAGGGAAAATTATGTCATGTTTTAATGCAAGAAAATAGACTACCCTATAGCAACTTATAAAGTGATGATAAACAAGGGGAAGGGTTAAAAAGTTGATGTTGAAATGAGTTGATTCAAAATAATTTTTTTCTGATTTTATTTCATAAGAAGTTTTGTAAATTTTAGGTTTCAGTCTTATTTTGAAGAAAATACATGCTGAAAATCAAAATTTATAAGGGAACAGAAATTCCAGGTTTCCTTTAACTGTACATTACTCGCAGGCAATCAACACACAAGAAATCAAGGTGGTTTTCATCCTGTTAGATGCATTCTGAGATGGATTTGAAAATAAGCACGATCTGTGACTAAAATGTGTAAAAAAAAACCCTGAGTACTATCTTGGTTGACACTGGGAAAATATGCCAGGTCAAACTCATTATGTCCATACTAGCACTAGTCAGATGAACAGCCCTCTCCAGAAGGAAATAATGCAGTTGCCCATCCTCCCCTCACCGCGTTTTGGTTTGCAGCACAGAACTGCAAACAACAAGCTTTTGGACAAAACCAAGCCAGAAAATGCACAGCAGATGCACTCCAGCTTCCAACACTTGCTCAGTCCTTGGACCGGATTGGAGCTAATCCTAAGGAAATATCCCCCAAAGTAGATAGTGCACGCTTCAGGTACTCAGCATCAACTGTTTCACCTGAAAGTCCCCTTTTGTCATGGAGCTTGACATGTTAATGCCCACCCAGCTGTTATTCTGGTCTCAGTTGCAATTAATGTAAAGCTGCAGTAACTCTATTGGCTTAACTGTCTCTAATCTGGATTTATGAAAGTGTAACTACGAGCAATTACATGTTCCAGAATGACTGCAAGCAAAATAAATGAGTAGGTTCCTGTTAATATGGATTAACAGGATCCATAAATTTTCTTTCATAAGAAGTAGTAGAAAAAGCAAAACCACTCTTTTCCAAATTATGGCCAGGCACAAATAAGTGAGCTAAGGATAACAGCCTACCTTCTTTCTAAGTTCTATCCTGTGCATTAGGAGCTGTATCCTGTAAGATGCAAAACCAGAAATAAATTGTAGTATTTGAAATTTTAAAACAAAAGACATGTTTTCTTTCTTTGCAGAGCTGATTGGCTTGTCTTGGGTGTGCTTCCTTTACACAATCGTGAGCCTAGCATCTCTGGCTTTTGTGGCTGTCTTTATACCAGAGACGAAAGGATGCTCTTTGGAGCAAATATCCATGGAACTAGCTGAACAGTAAGTATTAATGCTGTGATCACATCCGCCAGGTGCCAGAGGGACAAAGCCTTCCAATGCCACATGCTAATAAAGAAAAGGAAACTGCATATTTGGGGTTTTTTTTCTGGAGAAAACAGGTTTTCTCAAGGCTTGAGCTTGCATGTGTTGATCTTAGCAGCCAAGCAGACATTTAGCTGCTGCTGAGGGACTGGCCCTAAAAGGACGGTGGTTTCTATCTATCACCCCTATGAGGAACACCTGCAGTCAGGCTTGGCTCCCCAGCACTTTTGCTTACTGGCATTTGTAGAGAGAAGGGCAACTGTGATCTAACATTTAGGGTGGTGTGTCTCAGCCTGCAGGCAGAAAAAGGGCAGGAGAGAGACACTACTTCAAATACTTCAAGGCTGTGTGTGAGTTTTGATAGCTCTTCTAGATGGCATTTTTTGTGCATTTACTGAGTCCTGTGGCTCTGTAGACTCTATGAGCTCAAGCCTATAAAAGCTTCTTCTAGTATGAGTTATGTGTCCCCACATCACCACGTAAAAAGAGAATAGCAATGAGAAGAAGAGAGTGCTGGTGACATGAATGCCATGTTCCCACTCATTTAATATGACCTATTCTGACCCTATCAGTCTTTTCTCATCCCTTAGAAGTAGACTGGCTCTTGGAATAACATATGTTCAACAAAAAGAGTACATCAATTTGAAGAACAGAATTAAATGGTTTGCTGATACACATGCTATTTCCTTACAATCTCCAAATGTAGATATCATTGTCCGTAAATTGACTGGCAATTTTTGCTACCAATTTACTGCTTCCCCCATTCTTTTCAGTTGGTTTTGTCCATAAAAAATAATAGAAAAAGTAAGCAGCCCTGTTTTTTAAAATGTGGCGTTCTCCTGATCTGTTCAAAGACCTGCTTTACAGCAGCCATTTCCTTCTTTGGACTCACAACTGACTTACCAGCATAATGATTAAAAGGATAAAGAAATAGTAAGGGCAGAATTTTTCAAGGCTGATGCCTTGGGGTGAGAGTCAGGCCTCTTGGGTGTGTGACATGCTTCTATAGGCCAGGCAGCAGCATCCCCCAGTTCATCCCCACACCCAGGCTTGACAGGGCAATGCAGGGAGAGCATGTCAGCTGTATTTGATGGCAAACCTTGGCGTGTTTTTCTCCTTCTCCAGGAAATACATGAAGACCCCATGGTGCTGGATGAGCCAGCGCAGAGAGAAACTGGTGCTGGTGGAACTTGCTGCAAGAGAGAAAGAGCAGCTCTACTAGACCCAAGGCAATCAAAGCAGCCTTTACCAAAAGACTGGTAAAAACACCCCTCAGTGATGCCCACACTGATGGGACACATGCTATCTTTATTATACACATGATATTACCTCTTTCATTTCTTAGTAGAGCTTCTTTCAGTGGCAGTTTACAGCCAATATTAAAGATTGTTGTAGTTTGTAACTTACCAGAAATCTAGGCTCTGTCTGATTTACACCACCATCCCTCACCTTCCCTCAGGTTACTCACCTCTTACCTATAGGAGATGAATGTAAATGTGCACAATTCTAGCTACACTCATTCAAGTGTATTCAAGCTATTCAGGAGCTCAGCCTGGAAGAGGTGCAAAGAATTACTGGGATACTCAGGTGAAGGAAGGAATCTCACAGGAGGAGCCCATCAAAGACAGGCCTGTTTAGCCTAGCAAACACGGGACTGAAAAAGGTTAACAACTGTGTCATGTTAGGGAAAACACCGCTATAGAACAAAACCAGAAAACTATGGAATGTAAAGGATGGTGCAGGACTACTGTGTATGAACTCTTTATTAATTAATTTAAGCTTTGGAGTAAGAAAACTTGAAAAGGGATCTTGTTCATCAGAACTTATATCACAGAGCATGCTCAGCTTGTCAGAGGAACTTTCCCTACAGTTTCCTGGGAGGGACAGGATTCAGTGACCCAGGAAATACTGCTCAGAAAACAATCAAATTGTTTACTGGGGGGACATCTGCACAATAAATTACTCTAGATAGAGGACGGCTTTACAGAAGAGGCATAGGATTTCTTTGGCTTCTCTGTCCCAGGAAAGTTGGAAGCTGGAGGTACCAGAGTTGATGCCAAAATGGTTTTCTTTCTCAACACAGGGCACACTAGACTTTGACTTTTGGATTCTGAAAGTAAGACTCGTGCAGTACAAGACAGCACAAAGGGAGTTTGGAAACCATAAACACTGCAAATCATAAATTATGTCAAATTCTTGGTTATTTCTTACCAAGTGTATCTTGAAGTACTCAACAAAACTCTATAAAAGGTTATCTATATGGGTCCCATAAAAAAAATGTAGGTCTTTTTTTTTTTTCTTAGATTAACAGATTTTGTTAGAATGATCAGAAGATCAAAATTTATTATCAGATAAATAAATGGTTCTTTGAATTAAAAAACCATGCATTAAAAGCATGCCACTTGTGGCATTTCTTCCAGCATTTAACTGGGGAAGCAAGACTGACACTGTCAGCTGGAGTGCATATACTGCTCTGAACTAAGCATATGATCCCACCTTATTTGCTGTCTCATAGCACTAGCACCATCTGACTGTGCCCTGCACCGAAAGAACAGTGACTTATGATCCAGCTAAAGTTTTACTTCTGAGCAGGGTAGATCAGCTCTGATCAGATTCTTACATGGTCACACTTTTGATACTGACATTGTAAATTTATAGGCACATGTCTATTCATACAGTGAGCATGTGTTTGAAACCTGAAAAGAAACTATTGAAGCCAAGGACATGATTTGCCAGAAGACTGGAAATTTAGCTACCTCAGAGTGGGAACCTACGGGCCAAATCTGTACCACAACTTTCCTGCACTGTAAACTTTAAACGAACTAATATAAAGACCCTGTTGGACTTTAAATACAAAGGTCAGGTAAGTAGTTATCACAACACAGGATTTTTAACTGTGCAGATTATATGTTATTTAAACCAAATGAAACTCTGAATGGGTAGCCCACTGGCTAGCTGTCCAGCTTATGGCTGCCTTATCTTTTTTGTCCTGATCCTAGAGCCAGCAGTCCTCACAAGATCACAAGGTGCCATGAGACCAAGATGCTTTCAGGGCTGCTTATGGCAGAATGCACAAGGCTGAGAAAGATGCAGGTTTTGGCATATACAACCAACCAAAAATAAAGTAAAACCACATCATAAGAGTCCAATCTTCTCATAAGGGTCCATGTGAGCAATTCTTACATAATCCATAAGGAACATGAGACTGAGGACATCCAGGACATGTGGACAGACAGTGGTGCTGTGTACCCAAGATGCAGGTGACTCAGACCAAAGGCCCCATCAGAAGAAGTAAGCTTGAAAGTCCTTTGCTCTCATTCCCTACAGGGAATCAGTAGGTTCCCATCCCAAGCTAAAATTCCACCCTGTGTCTCAGGTGCTTCCACCTTCTCCACATACATGTAAAACTTTGGCTCCTATTACTTTGAATTTTCCAATAAAAGTTGAAGACCTGCTTAGAATTTTGAGGACTACAGTTCCGATAGTGACCACAAGAGGAGGTCCCTCTTGTGGTGTTGCTAAGAGGTCCCCCTGCCACTGCATAGGGGAAAGCCCACAGCAGTCTCCTGACCTCAGCAGTAAGAGTTTACTCTGCACTGAAGCAGTAGGAATCGGCAAAGGTAAGTGTTCCTGTAATTTCTGTAAATAATCACAAAAAGGATGTAAAATGCATTAGAGCTCAGCCACATAAAAGTTTCACAGCAGTGTGAAACAGGGAGAGCTGGAGAGCCAGGGTTGAAGCAGTGGGAGAGAAGCCGTGGATGAGGGCACATGAAACGGCAAGGAGAGGTGAAGTCAGAGACTGACTGACAGCGGAAGGGAAAGCGGCAGCTGAAGGCTTTAAGCATAGATGCGTCATGAGGTTGAATTTTTTACCTTAAATTTTGCACTTAGAGGTGTGAGGAATTAAAGAACCAGAACGTGGACAAAACCTACAAGATTTGGTGGGAGGTTTATGTTTGTTAATGCTTAGTTCAGCATCCGGATCTTTGCACTTCTGGTATCGGTGCATATTGTCATAAAAAGCATGAATTTATGGGGGTTTTAACCATAGTATGTTCGAGCATACTAAAAGAATAGTTTTTGAAAGATATTAATGCCTTCTTGCTAGAGAAAACAATATTCTATTACTGATAACTGAAAGAATAATAAAATATGGGATACATGGTTGGTATCATGTGTTGCCTGGAAGCTTGGCAAGCTCTTGTTGAAGAAAAGCAAAAGATGTAGAAGAACTTCTCAGGTACCAGCAAAGGGCTGCAGGCTGTACCTGCTAGTACTGCAAAGCTTTTTTCTTAGATCAACAGTGATATTTTCTTTTTATAAAACCTACAAATTCCACTATCAGTTCTGAACGCGTGTAAAATGATCATGTACATCATTTTTATACTAACAAGTGCCTAAGATTAAATCGAGTAACATAATGCATTTTTAGTAAGATTATTGCAGGAAATGAACCCATTTCCTGATCTGTGACTTTACTAAGTAGTGGATTACCTGTGTTTCCAGAAGTATCCCCATTTGCCCTGGCTGGTACTGTTTTCTGATAACTGCCTCTAGGTAGCAGACCTGCACATGTGATCTAAGCCCATACCATCTTGTAATTTCTATTACACCACATTTAGTGAAAGGGGCTTCCATAATATCTTTCTTACCATTACAGCTTCCCAAATCAACCTCTGCTGTAATACATTTTGTGAGTGTTCTTACAGAAGTAAATTTACCTCAGAAAATATCATAGAAATTGTCTCCCTACCTTACAGGTTTGGGGATAATTGTGAGCTCTTCTAAGTTTCCCACATGCACACTGATTAAGTGCAGACACAAATAAGGAAACACACGTTTTCTGAAGAAGGCATTCTATAATAGTTCCAACACCGGTTTAACTGCAGCGACCGCAACAGCTTCAGATACCTCCAACAGATGATGATGCTGTAGCCAAGGGCTTTTAAAACTATTATAAACTATAGTCTTAATTGTAGTCCTATATAGCCCTATAAATGAAGCCCTAATTGCACTTATCATTTATAACAAAGCCTGCACATCTGAGGACATGTCAGTCACAACCTCATCACCTATGAAAATACAAGGGGAAAAAGGGACGTGTCTTGAAAATCACATCCCCAGATTTCTGAAGCACTCCACAAAAAAATTTATCTCAGATCTAAAATTACTCAGTATCTTCATTAGCAGACTGGATTATAGAACAGAATATGCTTATTAAATTTGCAGGCAATGTTAAACTAGGAGAGACTGGGTTGGAAGCCAGAGCTTTGAAAATCTGTGAGAAGGATCTGAATAAAGCTGACAGCCTAAGTGCAAATTTCTCGGGTAACGCTAATTGCAAGTCAGAGAATGATAAAATGGTGCTAGAAAGCGCAGGGAAAGATCTAGTGGCTATGACAACTCACAAGCTAGCAATGAGTCAGTTATCATTCCACTCCAAAAAGGAGCCCTCAACTGGTTGTATAAATAGAACCAACCCTGCTCTCTAAGGAATATGAAACAAAGTTCTTATGGTGCTGCTAGCGCTATAGCTGAGCATCATACAGAGTTTTGCATGGAATCCACCTGAAGATTCCAGGGAGAGATGAGCAGTGCTCTAGAAAACCTGGCCATTGAGGAAGAGCTGATTGAATGACAGGTAAATTTAATCCAAAACACAGCTCCACACATGGGAGGTGAGAACTTAGTGTGCCGGGGCATGCTGCCCTGTCTGGGGTCAACACCATGGCTGCAGCAGTCAGTAACAACAGCCTAGGTGGAGGCACTACAACAGAGTGAAGGAATCAAAGAGTAACTTACAAAGATGGGGAAGGGATGGGTGTGTATTCACATGTGTAGAAACATGCAGCAGCAAGGGTTTTTCCAGACTGAGGCAGGGACCTACTGCTTTAGAGCAGGAATGGGAAATAAAACAATATCCCCAACTGTAAGCATATGCTGCCTACTTGTCACAAATGGTTTGAGGCTCCCTTGGAGCTAGGATAAGTAAGCACACATTTCAAGGAATCTTTTATTTGCTATTATTCTCTTTCTCAATACTACCCTGCAAGTTTAGTAGTGTGCTTTCTGGCATCCTTATGGATTGCTACAAAGGCCTCAAACTGCTAGCATGGATCTGAGCAGCATTTCAAAAGAAACAGTTCCCATTTTAATACATAGCAGCTTATTATCTTTCATTTTTGTTCTAGCAGGCAGATTTCATACTACATGATGGTGCTAACAAAAAAAAACACTTTCTCCACAGATAAATTTAGGAGACACATACGCTTCATAAAAGCTCCAGAATGTCACTGGTGGCACTCAAGTGCTTTGTAATTTGACCCAAAAGAAAAAAAGAGGCAAGCCTAATCTAAACCAGCTATTGTTGTTATAATGGCCAATTCCTCATTTGCCCATTTAGGACTACATTTTTTTCCTGGAAAACCTATTACAATTTTGTACATTGTTCAAATACCTTCTGCTTTTTCCTTTTTAAACTGTAATAATAATACACTAGTGTTCCCTAATGGTGGTTTGTCTGTTGCTCTGACTTTTCACAAAACCCTCATTAGCGTCAGGAGTGCTGAGGTCCACATTATTTTCTACACAGAATGGAAAGCTTGCATACAGCAAGCATCCTTTTCCCCACTCTTTACCATGAATTCTGTGACCGTCAAACTCAACTTAGTAATTTTACGGTTATAAGTCCTTTCTTTCCTACTTACACTGAGCTTAAAAGGGCTTTTATGAATGTATCACTTAAGGCTTATGGCAAATTGTTGCTTCTTTTTGTTCTGAGGGGTTTGGCTGATCATTTCCCATACCCCTTTTTCCTTTCCATGATTTCTGCATGAAGTCACTACAGACACCCCAACTTCTACACTATCCCCTTAAACAGATGAAATACATTATCCTAGGCCTTTGCTTCTTAACGATGCTCTTCCATCTTTCTTTCGCAGCTGTGACTTCTGGTACAGTAACAGCTCATGGTTTACTGTTTTTAGCACCCACTAAGACTGTGTGTTACCTGCAGCACACAATAGTAACATTACATTTCTCTTCAATGAGATAGGGAAAAAAGACATACATACATTTATACATATTTATTGTATCTTTTTAAAAGTAGCATTTGCAGTCACTTTTAAGCATTCACCTCTTCTGCTTCAAATGTGCACTTACTGATAAAAACATCTACTGGCTTCCAAGTCCAAGATTAATACCAAGAATAACACATGCCAGAATCAAGCTTCATTGCTTGTTGGCAGCTTCTGTCATGAAAATACTATACAGTAAGAAGAGCATAGAAAAGGTCTGTGTTAATCACTCAGCAATAGGCTGGGGTTGGATTAGCTCGACCACACCATCTTCTCATGCTGAAGCACACCACTGCTTTCCTGAAAACCGAAGTTCACACAGTAACTCTTCCTCCTCCATCCAGTAGGCAGACAGGGCAGTTGGTTTTTTTACAGTAGCTTTAGTTGACAAGATTTCCTCATCTATAGGAAAACACTCACTGTAGACCTTTATATTTAGAAATGTCTTCTCTTCATGTAATAGAAAGAAAAGTACTTGACGTCTGGCATGTAGTTAAGAGAACTGGGAACAAACCAAATTTCATCCTCGGATAAACATACGTAACTACTAGAGATTTCAGTCTAACCCACGCACAAAGTTTTACACATACTACTACAAATAGAAACAGAAGGTATCAGCAAAAGACTATTCTTACATTGTTTCAAATTAACTTGCAACTATACATTTTTAACTGTAATAGAAAAAGGGAAAGGAATATAACAGAACAGCTATGAAGAGAAATATTTTCCAAACCTTTATTTGTGCACATTCATCAGGTGAAAAAGATAACTTTTACAGCTTCTTTGGTGCCCAATATTCAGCATACAAAAATGTAAAAGACTATTCACAAATAAAACACAAGCTCAAACTAAAAAAAAAAAAAAAGTTTTTAAGGTAGTGCACATCGTGACAGCTTTGCTTATGAATACACAGAAATTACTGCAAAAATAAATAGAATGTCTTTTTAAAAGCAGCAATTTCATATCTTGTAAACTTCCGTTTTTACAATACAGCACTGTTAGGAGTAAAATCCAAAAGAACTGGAGTTTATACTGTGGCCACGAGCAAGTAAAAGAGTCTGTATTCTTCTGCTATGGTTGGTCCAGTTTTCCTTTTTGCTTTTAGTCCAATGTGCAGCAGTCTTTAAAGGTGCTTGGTTAGGGAACCTAACCATCAAGTGGTGAGTTATAAAACTTATTTCCTGCTTTCAAACACGAATGGGTAAATCTGTTCCACGGCACTGGCAACAGCCTTTACATTTGGCCCTGAGACGTATTAAAAAAAAAAGAAGGCAGTAGGAAGAGAAAAATCAGGGAACCACAAGTTAAAATAATAATAGTATCTTGAAAATAACAGTATTTTGGCTATCACAACTTTATACTGTAGACAGACATAATTTCTCCCCCATTTATCCCAGCTTAAGAAGGTGTTCCTCTGATCACTTTAATTGACAAGAAAATTGAAATCTGCAAGATGTTCTACACTGGTCAATGGCTAAACTACAAATAAGTAATACTGCCATTTAATTTCATAACAACCTGGGTGCTTTTCAATTTACAGTCAGCCTAGAGAAGAAGGCAGAAGCTGATTAGCAGAGGTAAAAAATACTTTTACTTCTGCTAATCTTCTAGGAATCTCTATTACTCAAAGCCTAACCATTTTTATCTCACTATGAAAACAAGGAAGAAAATTCAAATATTTAAACAAATATCTGCATTTTCAAATCCTACGTCACTTTTGGTTTTATAAAGACCAGACTACGTACATTCAAAGCAATTTTTCAGCCTACCACAATAGCACTTTCTCCTCAACTTCTCTGGCACTTCCACTCAAAACCAAACCAGATGCTAGCACTGGGGAACAAAATCCTTTCAATGTATTTTTTGACTCTCTTAAATGTCTTCCTTTTCTAAACCTACTGGGCCTAAAGTTAAATATTCCCAACAAGGTAAATAATTATTTTTGACATCAAAATACCTGTAACTGTGATACTGCCTGTGGAAAAAATCTGTAAAGTAGCTCTGAGAGTTTTTATTCTGTAACACACGGCAGGATGAAGTTCTGGTTCATAACTAGAAAACAAAATAAAAAGTAAAAAAGAGAGATCTAGAGCTGAAAAATAAAACCTTGAGTAGTACACCAAGACTATTGTTCTTAAAAATCCTACTGTACCTCGCATGAGGTCTGTTATTCTTCGTAAATTCTGGCAATCTGATCTCGAAGGGCATGTTGCACACTGCTAAAACATTCACAACCTTAAAATCTGTGAAAATTACCTTTTCAAAAGGGAAGAAGAAAAACACATTAGAAATACAGTTTTCAGTGAGACAGATGAATGGGTTGCAAAAAAAAGTCACAGGATTAGTAATTAGAATATATTTATGAGACTTCAAAATTAAAACCTTGTGACTGATGCATTTCTAATAGGAATATAAACCGTACTTAATGGACTCAAATCACTTACTTTATGTTTCAGCTAAGAATAAGTAAGAAGGTGAAAATTGTTTTGTTTCAAATCTCCAGTAGCCGGTTTGGCAGGCTGTTTTTCTGCTGTTACTTTCTGAAATCCTGCTCAAACTACTGGCTTTCAGTTATTCTTTACCACAGCCATTTAGATGACAACAAAAGAGCCAGCACGTAGCTCCTAAAAAAACAAATGCACTGCTGAGAAGTCACTGTTGGCAGTATCACTGAAAAAAACTTTTGTTCATGTCCTGAGATTACCTAAACTTAAAATGACTGTTCCTCAGTCAAAACTTTTTAGAAGGATGCTACCAATATAAAAGGTCAATTATTAATTTAATCTTCAATATATATTCCACTTAAGCGGCTTACTTTTTAATAAAACTTGGTGCATCCATCCTTGAAGTACAGTTCACCTCACTGATTTAATGTTCCAGCCAAACTTTTAGAGGATGGGTCTAACATGTACATTTGTAACAGTAGTGTGTCTAACTTCTGCTTGGGTCTGATGCAGTGTTACCTGGATAGCCTGTCACAACTGCTTTTATGCACTAGAATCAAAGGGAGAATCTCCCTGCCAAAGGACAGCCATTGTTTGTATTTGTCTGCCTGTAAACTGAAACTGCAGGTAAACACCACAACTGACTACCAGGAAGTTTTAGAATACTAAACTGTGTCATTTCAAGTCACTCACATTGCTTTTTTTCAACCTTTATTATAAAACGTAAGTGGTGTTTTTGCCTGGTAATATCAACCCAAACCCAGGAGAAAAAAAAAAAGGGGGGGGAGTGTTCATGTCCTAAATGTTTTATTTGGCTTATTTCTTCCTGTGCAACCTCATAGTTCAGAAGTGGTTTTTTGGCCCCTCCTCTTTAATAAAAGAGGCTCAAACTTTCCCTTAACAAGATTGACATGTATCTGCTATTCCACCAGAAACAAGGTAAAATTATGTTTAAATGACAGTTAGGCTTGTACCCTTTGTCACTCCTTTCAAATAAATCTTTCAATATATTGTAATGCTATCCAAGAAATATCTGTGGGTGGTTCGTTCATTAAACAAATTTTGTTGTTCATTAGCTAGCAAAGAAGCACTACTGTGAGCTGCCAAACCAAACTCAAATCCACAAAATAAAACAGCTTCTCTTTAACCAGCATCTGGAAAATATATACCAACACAAAAGGGGCATCTGAGTGAAAACATGCTCACTGCTAAATCATAATGCTCCCTCATTTTTGTTTCTTTCTAAAAAATGAACTATCAGCATTGCGTGAGTCATGCGAGTCCTTTTTCATTGGATTTACCTGAAAACCTAGTTTCTGTAGACTACGAGCTAATCGTCTGGCACCAAATTTAGCTTCTTCTTCACTATAAAGGAGAAAGAAAATAATTTAGCATTAACAGAAATAGAGTACATATTTGTGTGCACACGTACCACAACAGCTATTCAGACTACAAAATGAACTATTACACCTTACCCTTACTCCACAATGCAGACATACCTTAAAAGTAATTCAGCTGTTATGAGTTTAGCAAGTCTCAGATATATCTGAACTGAGAGTCTGCTTTTGCTTCTTTTCACTCCCTCAACACTAAGTAATTTGTTTGGTGGGCTTTCATAAAAGAATAAGAGATACCCCTCAAAGAAGGTCATCCTTTCCCAAGTTTCAAGTCCTGGCTAAAAACATAGCTTGAAGAGTTCTCAAATGAGATCTCTAGGATCTTCATAAAGTATTTTGCCTGCTGCTCTCCCAGAAGGCTGAAATGATGTTGCTTAAAATTCCAACTCAGTCTGAGGCAGACACTCACATAGAAAACTTCCTTCCAGATATGTATCTTGGCAAGGATCAACGCAAGATCCAGCGTGAGTGAATCTTAAGCGTCAAGTACTGCCTCTTGCTGCCATCTTCATTACAACACTATTTTAAAATGCACAAGAACTTAAGCCAGAGAAAGAATCTTCATCAACTCACCTTGTGGCTCCTGTGCAAATAACTTTTCCTGAGGACCAAATTGTGGCTGTAATCCTAGGTTTTCTAAGCTTCATCAATACCTTCTAAAAATAAAAATAAAAGTGGAAGATTCTGGAATTAGTGGTAGTTCAATTCACACTGGGGAAAAAAACTACATCAACTGTTAGAGAAATCACGTTACACTAATAACACTTCCTTTATTTTTGATAGCCTTGAACTGTTCCTTCACCTTTTTCAGTAATTAAAAACAACCCTGCTCCTGAGAAGAGCAAAGTAAGTGTGGAATATCTCAGTCAGTCATTCAGTATGCACAAAACAGATTAAATGAAAGTATTTTCTCCTGAATAAAAGCTGAAACCCACAAGCATTGTGCTTTTTTTTTCTTCCTTATTACAGTGACTCCCACATTGCTGACTCCTTATCAGGATACATCTTGACAAAGACACCAAATTTTGGGAGGTAATTTTGGAACCCTGAAGTGCAAGAGGGCTCATCACATACCTTGCACCAAGTATTCACCTCACTAGTTTCAGTCTTCTGAGACAATATTTACCCACTCCTCTTTTAGTGTTTGATAGACTAAATGCCTATCAAGAATAAAACTATGCTATCCATATTCTTCCATATGCTTCCAGTATCTGAAGGGGGCATATAGGGATGCTGGGGATGGACTCTTCATTAGGGACTGTAGTGACAGGACAAGGGTAATGGGTTAAAACTTAAACAGGGGAAGTTTAGATTGGATATAAGGAGGAAATTCTTTCCTGTTAGGGTAGTGAGGCACTGGACTAGGTTGTCCAGGGAGGTTGTGAATGCTTCATCCCTGGCAGTGTTCAAGGCCAGGTTGGACGAGGCCTTGGGTAATATGGTTTAGAGCGAGGTGTCCCTGCCCATGGCAGGGGGGTTGGAACTTGATGATCTTAAGGTCCTTTCCAACCCTAACTATTCTATGATTCTATCTATTCCATTCTATCCACCACACACATACCAGACACAAGAACGTTTAGCTTAAGGAACATTCACAAAAAAAGATAACCAAGCTATGTTGAACCTCTTACCCCAACATCACGCTTGTATATCACATTTGCTCCCTCTAATGCAATCTTCCTCAAGTTTAAATGACATCTTGTTCTAAAAACACACACTACATTTGTGATTAAAATGTCCAGTGCAACATCACTGTCCGCATCCATTGGGGTGATTTACAACTCAGTTTTCCCACCAGCTCACCATGAAGATCACATCCTGAGAAACAAAAATGATAAAATTAGAACATATCAATAAAAAACTGCTTATAAATGCTATTGTATACACCTGTCCCATAAATGAGACAAGAAGCAGAAGTGACTAAAGTGACTACACCCTGATTCATTTAAGTTAACTGTGTGTGGGGAGGTGGAGTGTCTGCATCCTGTACACTAGAAAACAGAAGGCTCCTTTGGAGGTTTGAAGCCATGTTGCCAGACTCAACAGAAATAAAGTGTGTATACAAACACACACACACACATATATATATAATATATATTTAAACTTGCCACTTAATTATGTTACAACTTTTACCAACTATTTTAGGACGCAGTAAAGATTACTGAAACTTTTTCCATAGCTCCAGTGGATAATCTTTCCTCAGCTCATTTGAGGATGTCAACAGGCACCTCAGGAAAATGCACTACTCTGCTGAAGTTGGTAATTCTCAACAGCTTGACGTTTGTGTTGGAATGGATAAGCCTGCTTAATAACTCTGAACTAACATAGCTTACACAAACTGCAGCCTGTAGACAGCCTGCTACTATGGCTTTCCCATCTTTATCCAGCACTCTTGGCCTAGCTATCCCAACATAACAGCATAATGGGAACTGTACAAAACATTCTGGTAGCAGCAACAGCGTGGGCTGAGTCTCAGTAGCCTCTCAGCCCTTCCTGCACTGCCCACAGGAACCATGTAGAATGAAAGCACTCCATGTGCCGAGTAAAACTTGAGTGCTTCCAAGGAAAAGCATGAGTAACTGTGAAGGCACAGGATGGCCACTCAGTGCACATCCAGTCTGCCAGTGCACGCTGAAAGTGACACTAGTAACAAGCACTTCAACTGAGGGAGAAGGATCATAAAACGGAGAGTTTGGCTACAGGCAGCCCAGCTCCAGACTGCCCAACATCTCTTCTGCAAGTATGCCAAAGCCCAGACAGCAGATCTCTCAAATCTCAGGTGAAGTATTTGGGGGAAGGAGAGAGGAAAAGAACAAGAACGTTCATATATAGTGAAAAGGACTTGTATCAAAATCCTGTAGCTCATCAAGGATTTTTTCTTTGTAGAAGAACATAAAAATCTTAGTTTTACTCCAGGAGAAGTAGCTGAAGGTAGAGCATAGTCTAAGAGACAGAGGCAATATTATCTTGATCCATTAATCTAAAATTTTAGTTGTGGTTTAAGCTCAGCCGGTAACTCAACCACAGAGTCACTTGCTCACTCTCTTCTTTGTTCCCCTCTCTCTCCAGGCAGGATGGGGAGGAGAATCAAAAGAATGTAAATCCCACAGGCTGAGATAAGAACAGTCAAATAACTAAAGCATAATACAAAACTACTACTACTATTACTACTACTAATAATAATCAAGGAAATAACAAGAGGAGATAATATAAAACTAAAAATAGAAGGGAATAAAAAAAAATAACACCCCACACACAGTGATGCACAACACAATTGCTTACCATGCGCTGACAGATACTCAGCCTGACCTGAGCAGCAATGTGGGCCTTCCAGGTGACTCCCCCAGTTTATATACTGGGCGTGACACGCTGTGGTAGGGAGCAGCCCTTTGGCTAGTTTGGGTCAGGTGTCCTGTCTCTGCTTCCTCCCAGTTTCTTGTGCCCCTCCTCACTGGCAGAGCATGAGAGACTGAGAAGTCCTTGATCAGGGTAAGCGCTACTTAGCAACAACTAAAACATCGGTGTGTTATCAGCATTTTTCTCAGACTGAAGCTGAAAAACAGCACTGCACCAGCTACTAAGAAGGAGAAAAATGACTGTTACAGCTGAACCCAGGACAATATAAGGAACCCACGTCTCTTTGTGTTGCCCAGGCTACGCTGCAGTGGCTATTCACAGGCACAATCCTGCTAATGACCAGCACAGGAGCTTTGACCTGCTCCATGTCTGACCTGGGCTGGTTCAGCCCAATTCAAAATGAACACAACAGAAAACAAAGAGGAAAAACAAAGAAAAATAGTCAGATATACAAAATGCTTTACATGGTTACTGCCGTGGATGAAGCAGGAGACTATGCATCAAGAACAATACATATAACTGTACAGGACATGTAAGTGAGCAGCTGTGTGGTGCTTAGTTGCCGTCTGGGTTTAAACCACAACAACATCAGACCGTAATAATGCACTTGTATCACTTCAGATGTTTTGGCCTTATGTTTTATATTAGAAATATTCAAAATACAAAATTAGCATTATTAACAGTACCTTCATCTGACTATCACTTCCTAAACATCATGCCATAGTCTCTAATCAAGAACTCATTCAAGGTACATCTTTGACTACAACTCACTGACAATACAGAAGTAATAAACTACAGGGTAGATGTGCATAATATACTGGGTCAACTTCTGTGTTGGTGGCTGTTTCTACTGGGCAGCTTCTTCCCAGCTGAAAGAATTATTCTGTACTTGTCAGCTTGTCCAACAGAAGAAAAGGCAAGATGGGTGATACCAGAAAAGAAATGAAGAAACAGCAGGAGAAAAACCAAAAGCTATGTGTGGGGGTGAAGTGGGGGGGAAGAAGCCAAGAGAACAAACAGTAACTAATTAGTATTCCCAGATCCCTTTTTAACAAAATGAAAAAAATTATATGAATCCTCAAAGTTAGAAATTACATATTCCATCTGGTTTTGATGGACTACTACAGATTGGGTTAGTAATTTATGGCACCAGATCCACAGATAGCACATGTGCAGATTTAGAATGACACACAGGCAGGGCAAGCACAGAGCAAGGAGCCGGAACTCATGGCATCTTCAGAGAGGCATTCGGACTCACACTGGCTTTAATCCTGATTCTTGCCAAGTTCACTTGCTGGAATCCAGGAATGACTGCCATGTAAGAAAACAAGATAACTCCAGTCAGCAGCATCTCCCAATTATCAGCAAGTTTCTATTGGCACCCTCAACCTCTACATTCTGAAAGAATACCATCATCATGCACAACATCCTTGAAAGGCTGATAACCTCTAAGCAAGCCATAATACTGTATGATAATGCCCTCATAAAAATCTGATGGCTTGTCTTAAACAGATCGGGGGAGAAAAGTCACATGTTCGATCAGAACAAAGGAAAAATGGTCGAAAAAGAGGTAAATTACAATTTAAAAGGGAAAGACCTATCATTAAAGGGGGATCTATAGGAGAAAAGAACACTGAGATGCTGTGAAGCTGTCAGTAAGGATGTTTTCAGCATTATGGTGTAGCTTGGTTAGACATCCAACCTACTTGCATAGATTTTAATGGGGAGAAAAATTACACATTAATGCGCTCCCATTTTCATTAGCCATACTCTGAAAGTTCAAGACAACAGGTATTTATAGAGGAGCTTTTTAATTTGGAATTTAATTTGAGCTGTAGCTAATATTCTAGACATGTTTTGTGACATTTAATTAAAAGGAATACAATTTGCTACAGAAGCAGCACCTGAACAAAGTGTAAAAATACTGAACCTTCTTTTAACAGTACTTGATCTAACAGAAGTATTCCTTTGTTAAGCTTTTCCCTCAAATATAGAACTATTCAAATATTAATTACCAGGTTTTCCTCATTTGTATTAAGGAAACTCCTATTTGCTCTTGCCCGTTCTTTAAGAATCTTTAAGAATCTGAAACTGTGTCAACAATTTTGAATACACCCATTTCCATTTACTATACAAATACAGTGTTAACTGTTCTTCCATGTTTGAGAAATATCAGGTAAACCAAAATGCTTCCAGACTGGGTACTTCTGTCCAAGCAGTGAATAAGCACAACCTACTACAACCTCTGCCTTAAGCATTCATTTTAATGTCTCACATTGTACTGACAACAAAGAAAAGATTCTAGGGAAGAGGCAGCCTGCTGCCTTTCTTTGGGAAGTCTCATAGAAATCCAGATTCATAGGAGGCATGTGAACTGAAAAAAGCTAAACCTTTTCTGAAAATAATAATACATGCACTATATAAAAATAACTTCTGAAGAACATGTTTATAAAAAAGTTGTAACAATGTTATCTTAAAAAAAAAGTTATTCTTTATACCTCTCTGCAGCAGCATGGCTAGGTGGAACACAGGAGTCCTAAACAATATTCTGATCCTCTTCCCCAGTTTTCTCATCTTCTCTGCTACTGATACAAACTACTGTATCTGTGCTGTGTAGCCCTGACCCATCATGTTATTTCTCAAAACCTGCATTTCTCTTATCTGCAAAATGGGGAAAATACTGCTTTCATGCTTTTACAAATACATTTTAAGATCAAGCAACAGCGTTATATATCAGCCTGTTACTATTCCATACTCATGCACTTACACTTGCAGAGCAGAGTGCAGGAGAAGAAACCAAACATCTGGTTCTTTCCTGTTCTGGATTTGCAAACACCTAAGTTGATTTTACTGAGCTTAGGTTTTCTTGATCAATTTTGCCCAAAGGTTCACCCTTCTGAACCTTAAACTTCTGGCAGCTTAAATCTCATTTCTAAAATTACGTTTTGTCATTTAATGCTAATTTAATAATAGCCTTGAAAACAACATCTTTCATTTCTCTGTATGTACAGAATTTGCATTAAATTATGTACTTCACCGAGCTTTCTCCAGCACAAGAAACTAGCCAACTCTGATTTTGAGTTCTCTTGCTCCAGCCTAACAAAATGTACCCCAACAGAGAAAAAAAACCCTTTAATACATCTCTGCGTAAGTTTTTATGATTGGACATTTAAAAAGACTGTTCTTTCTTTTTAACATAGACTTTGGGGATACATCTGGAATATTACCCTAATGAAAAAAAAAAATGAGAAAGGGGAAAAAAAATGTAGATGGGTAAAGCATGAACACAAAAATAAAAACAACAACGATACTTGACTCTGTAAAGTAACGTATTTTACACAGAACTACAGAAACTTCCCAGAATAATAAACAGGAGGAGAAATGAACACTCAAGTTCTTAAACAAAGCATTACCCATACATCCCCTGTAAGGACCATGACCATACTATTTTAGATATTATATAAACACACATGAAGACAAACACCCTGCACTGAAATCTTGCTATCTAGAAAAAGCCAGTGCTGCCTTCAAAATGTTCCAAACCAAACCAACCACACCATCATCATCAAAGAGAGAGGAAAGGCACTTGGGACGGAGTATATAAACAAAGTATTATTTTAAGCTCTTGGCTACCTTTGATCCAAGAAACTCTGAGCCATGAAGGTAGATGGGGGGTAACTAACAACGGTTACTTTAGTGTCAGAACGGTTTAATAAACACCTTTTCTACCAGCAGCCTGAGTATAAGCAACCTCTACTGGTTATTTTTATCCCTGCTCCAAAGCAGTTCAGCAACTGACCAATCCCACAAACAGTTCCAACAGTCCAGCTGAAAAGATACCTCTCACTACTGTGCCAGTAGGCATTCATCAAACTAATGCTTGAAAACATTTTTAAGACGTTAGCAGGAACCTCCACAAGAAGTTTCCATATCAGAACAGCGAACACACAGTAAGCCCATCAGGAATGAGGACAGTCAATTACATCATTTCATTGAAGATGCATTTTTGTATTCAGTCCCTCAGGAAACAGGTCTGTATCAAATGCTCGAGGTGACAGACCTCTGAAATCTGCTTGAATTCCTAGATTTGATACAGTCACGGTGGCAGACGAACCAAGAACAACACAGATACTACTATCTGTACAGAAAATACTCTGGTCCAAACAACTCTCTTATAGCCACTTAGCTAGTGGGGCATGCTTTTATTTTTCTGTTGTCTCTAATGGCAAGTTAAATTCTCTCTGAAGCAAAAGGCCATCTTGAAGCTAATATTCTCACTTTTCAGGATTTGCAATCATGATTATTTCCTACAGAATGAAACAAATATATTTTGGAGAGGAGGAAAATTTCCAAATACGCATAAACCCAGCATCAAAGTAGGGATTTATCCAATTAGACCAATGCATAGAATGATGACACCAGCTATGATAATAAGCATGTAGGGCACAAATGCTCAATCCCACTGCAAAAATTCTCTTGGCTAAGCCTACTTGCATCCACGTGGATCTGGGGTCTTGCAACACAAACCCCGTTGCAGGAATAAAGCCAAACAGTTCATAGAACAAGACCAGGAAGTGTGTTCGTAACACTCGTAACAGGCCATTCTCCTCAAATCTGTCTCATCAAAAAGGTCCGCTCATATTCAAAGCAAGATCCGCCTGACTCGAATTTTGTGTCACCTTTCCCTTATCACATTCAGTTAACAGTCGAATGCCAAGCATTAAGTGCATTCCATCAGACCGGTATGACACACTGAAAATTGTCATGATCATGATGAAAGTTTGAACCGAGAGGACAATTGGCCACCCCGATTTGATAAGACATTCTAAGAAAAATAAAAATCCATTTTGCGGCTACGAAGTATTTTAACACAACAGGTAAGCCTCTCATCCCCCTCCCAGCCCAACATTTACCGACCGCACATCCAGACTGAGAAAACAGACGTACGCCTCCAATTCACATTGCTGGGCACCTCACTGCAAGCCCTGCATGTACCAGCGTCACGACTCAAGCTAACAATTATTTTTATCTCCTCCAACCCCAACCGAAAACTTCTCCGGCCAGAGCAGCGGAAACAAAGCGGCGGCAGCAGGCGGCCTAGCCACGCCGCTCTCCGCAGCCTAGCAGCGCCGGGCGATTCCTCTGCGCTTCGCTATTCGGAGCGGCGCCGGTCGAGGGACCGTTACAAAGCCCCCAGGGCCTGGCACGCCGCTTCGGGAACTCGGGCACAGGGCAGCTGGTGACCTCCGGGGAAGCCCCGTCGGTTGCACGGGAACGGGCCGTTTTCCCTGGAGAACGTTTTAACTCCTTCCCCTCCCTGACACGGCGTCCGCCCGCCTCAGGGGGGAACCATGGTACCGCGGCGGGAGGAGACGCCAGCGCCGAGAGGGGAGCGGGGGAGGCCCACACCGCCCCCTTCACCTCAGCCGGGAGTAAGAGAGAAGCCGCATCCCCTCCCCCGGGCTGGGACCGCCGGGCCCACCAACCCGCGGCCCCTCGAGGCGGTGACGAGGTGGAGAGGGGCCCGTCGGCATGCGGCAGTCTTTACCGTGCGGGCGGGCGGTTAGCGGTCGGGTCGGGGCGGAGCGGGGTGCCGGCTGCTGCTAGGCGCCCCGCCGCTAGCGCCCGGCGGCGTTCCGGGTCCTGGGCCGACTCCCCACGACAATAAACATGCCCCAGCGCCGCGGGCATAGACGCGGCGCCGGCTAGAGCGGCCACCGGAAGTCACGGCAGCGGGAGGGGAGAAAGGGGGCCGCGCTAGTAACGCACTTCCGCTTTCGTCTGCCGCCCCCTGAGATAGTGGGGGGCTATAGCACTGCCCGGGGCGATGGAGGTGGTGGGTTCAGGTCACCCTCGCTGCCGCCAGTTTGGGTAGTCAGTGCCACGGGGACCGTTCTTGCTTGCCATGGTGATGATGCTGCCTCCCGCCCCAGGGCCGGCGCAGCGAGGCCGCGCTCGGTAGGGCGCTGCGGAGGCCGCGCAGGAGGCGGGGAGTTTCAGGTTGTGCACTTGGCTGTGAGCCGCCCTGGCCGCCCCTGTCCGCACGGCTGTTGCCAGTGAGCCCGTGGTACGCGGCTGCTGGCCCACTGATAGTTGCTTGGTCACAGCCACATTGTCTGAGGTAGCATCTTTGCCAGCAAGCAGGCAGGAGATCAGATCCATTTGGCAGATTGGATGGTGTGAACACTCATGGCACATAGTTTGTGTTGCTCACAGACCTCTTCAGCTTCCAACACATACCTCGATTGCTGGCTTGGCTGTTCCGTGTGTGCTTGCTCACCAAACAGAGGTGGTCAGTGCTGAGCCTATCACAGCAATCCTTAGGATTCACAGCAACAACATATTGCTGCTGTTGCTACTGCAGCAGTATTCTGGTCACTGACTCTTGTCTTAAAAATGCTTTAAAGATTTTTTTTTTTTTTTTTTTTTTTTTTATTTGAAGCGATCTTGTTGGTACTGAAGGGATAGTTCACACCAGTAAACTGGTACCTTGGTGTGTGAGCAGACTACTGACCCCAAGTGAAATAGGAAGCACACGGAGCAGTTTGCCCAGAGAAGCTGTGCCTGCCCCATCCCTGGCAGTGTTCAAGGCCAGGCTGGATGCGGTTTGGAGCAACCTGGTATAGTGGCAGATGTCCCTCCCCGTGGCAGGGGGTTGGAACTTTTCTTTAAAGTCCCTTCCAACCCAAACCAGTCTGTGATTCTATGAGCAGGTGACTGTGTGTGGCACACTGAGGAGGGCTGAAATGGGGCATGAGGACACAGTGGCTGTGTTTGGGGTGGTACTGGTTCTCTGTGCAGGACAGCCCTCCAAATTTGGCACTGTCCCACCTATGCTGTCTGTAGGGAGTAGAGCCTGTGCTGAACTGCCTTTCCACTACTCTTGTATTTTCTCTTGGAAGATTCATTTGTTCTGCTTCACTCGGGAACCCAGGAACAAATGATTTGGCTGCAGTGTAGCCATTTAAGGACCCACCACCCTAACAAATGAAATAAAGTTGGGTTGACTTTAGGACTATGAAGACACATCTGTTTCTAGTGAAAAGTATATATTTGTATATTTATATGTGTGTAGTGCAGAGTATTCATTGTATTGAAAATTTTCTGAAATCAAGGTTCTGTAATTACGTACTTCCGTGTGTGAAGTGACAGCAGAATAGCTTTCATTGGAGGAAACAATATGAAGTAGAAATATGGAAGTCTTCAGAGTTGGGATGTTTTCCTCTGCTAGATTCAGTTTAATCCTTGAAATTACTAGGTTCACTTGTCAAAAATATGTTTCAGATTTTCCAAATCAGCTCCAAGTGTACCAGTGACAGTGTTGCCTAATGCTGGCTTGTTAATGCTTCCCCGTTAGGAGGAGGGACCAGTGCGCGGCAGCGCTGCCACCCCGCGGCCTGTTAAGGGAACGGATTCGCCACCTTCAGGTGGAGATAGTCAAAAGATGCGAGCTGCTAAGGACGGGGATTCTGAATTTAGAGCAACAGTTACCGCAGTTCTGTAACTTTGCACGGGATCTCCAGCATTTCTATGGAGTGCCTTGAGGCTGTTTTAATTCTTTATGGGCTTCAGCCTAAAAGCTCTGAGTCATTATAATTAACACTGCCATTGTAGGATAGATGGTTGCAATGTTGTCTTCTCCCTGAGAGTTCTCTCAAGGTTCTGTATAGCTTTGTCACTACAGATGCTGGGTTTTGGTTTGTTTGGGTTTTTTTTTTTTTTTTTTTTTTTCCTGAATAGCTGATTGCATAGGCAAGTTATGAAGAAAAGCTTTATAAACTCTGATTTTGCTTGAATTCTAAGCTTCTATTTTTTTAGCACACTCATAAAGGTCTGCATGAATTGAACACAAAATGCCTTCTAGCGAATATGTATCTGTTTTCTGTCTCCACATGCTTGCCATTTCAGGATGTAACTTTTTTTCTAGCAGGTGTTCCACAGGAATGTGTAGTCATCACTGGATGTTAAGAATCATGGTGGGCTTTTTTACTGATGTAGAGATGAACCCATACATAAAGTTTCAAAGTTTTGGCTGCTTTTCAGCCTGAGCTTTTTCCTGTTTGGACTAGGACATGTACTGAAGATTGCATCTTTAAATATGTATTTAGAAAACGTGCACATGCATGCAAGTCATCGTGATCACATTAACATGGAATGCAAATAAGGTGATTGAGCACCTGCCTCATTTTACATGTAAGCCTATCAGCTGTGCCTGGAATTTTATTCCACACCTATATAGTTTCAAAGTTGACTATCCTGTCCTTATGTTCTCCCCCTCCTGGTCTCCGTTCCTCCGTACAACCCCCATGGCTTCCTTCAGTAGTATGATCAAGATGCTAAGGATTTCCCACGTGCAGGAACTCTGTCTTCGTCTTCCTCTTGCTATTCCTTGTTTTAACTTACCACACGCTGTACTGACATCAAACAGGGAAGGCACAGAGATCATTTCTGACACTGCCACTTCCTTACTATGTGATTTCATTTTCCTGTGCCTCTGGTTCTCAATCCTTTGTTTAGGAAATGAAGAGGGGACAGAGATGCGGGAGGGCAGTTTCCTGTGCTGGACATTCTACAGCATGGAATTGTGTGCTGCTTGGGACAATCAGTATGAGAATACTAGCAAAGTAAAAATAAGGATCACTGAACTTTAGGACACTGCACATATTTTTGTTCTGTAATTACAGCAGTGAGAATGAGCAAAGATGCAATTTCATTATGTTGTTATTCAGCTGTAACTGCAGGTTTCTGTAAAAAAAACCCAAAACAAATAAATCACGCATGAAACTAAAGCAAATGCTTGGTTATCTGAATTTTTCTATTTTTACAGGATTAATTTTCAATCAGATAACATCCAGTGCAAGGTAGGCTATGGGAAAGTGTAGGGGGAGAGAAAAAAGCTGGATGGCCCCTTGAAGCAGACCACAGGGAAGGCTAGGAGAGAGTTTCATACAGCTGCATCTTAAATCCTGTGGGCTCTGTGCAGAAGACTATATTGAAGTATTTGTGTTTGGCAAGGAGGTACCCCAGAGCAACCTGTATCTCACACGTTCCATAGAAGTGACACTGTGGAATGGTCGTCAGCTATGCACATATGATACTGCAGGCTAATTACAAGACATCTCCCAAGCTGGCAGCCAGCAGCAAATAAGCTTAAACCTTTGGCAGGAGATCAGTCAGGGAGGGAATCCTTTGCTGTAGGGCTTAGTTTATCAGCTGAAAGTGTAAACTCAACTGTGCCTTCGAACACTTCTCTGATGATGTGCAGCATGGTAACTCATGCCAGCACTGTTAAAACTGTTACCTCCCTGCCACAAGTGGTACTTAAGCCAGCTCCATGATATTCAGACATTCTGTATAATTTTATATATAATTTTATATATTTTTGTATAAAAATAGAAATAGTTATCATATAGTAAATATGCCTTATTTTATATAGTGTAGATATATTATGTAGTCCTTGTAGGTATATATTGTGTAATACATATAGTAAGATATATTATTTAATATAATGCATGCATATGAAGAAAATGGCAGCAAAGTACCCCAGAATAAAGTCAAATGATCAGGATGAGGCATTTTTTTAGTAAAATTTACAATAATTTAACACATGTCTGTAGTTTTGGCCCCTGCAACTGAATGGTATTTACAGACTATGTGTGCTGAGCTTTGTTGGCAGTAATTGAGAACTACAGCTAGACCCTGGCCACAGCACTGGCTGTCGGAGCCAGAGAATGGTCCATAGACTGTTTTATCAGCACTAGCAAGTGTAGATCGAGATGTACAGCCTGAGAGGATCCTTCCCTACATCCTTCTCATTCCTATCCTTATACTGAATCAAAGAGCAAAGATCCCTGATCATTTCACCATACCTACGAGAAGAGTTCGTAAGTTTGTAAACCAGAAGAGCCAGTGTCCTAAGCCCGTACCAAGCTCATGTGTGAACCTTCAGCAAGTCACTTATCAGCTCTGTACCTCTTTTTCTTCCCATTAGAATGATAGCAGCCTCCTATGGGAAAATATTTGGCCACGAGGTGATTGCAAACGTTCCAAGGTAACTGCCATCTTCTGTTTAATTTGTGCATTGACTCAGAGATGCCAGCTGTATGGAAGTCTTACATACGTCAGAGCAAAACAACATGTTACTGCTGAGGAAGAACTGTTCCCATTCTGGTCAGCTCGGCCATCAAAAAGTATCACAGGATGCTGAAGCAAGAGGCCACGCTGACACTTGGTTTTCTTGTTGTACTCAGTGATCTTTACCTCGTCCCTGACGGGGGAGGGACGTGCTGCTGCAGCAGTCTGGGAAGCCATCCAGCAGGACAGTTATCTTTGTGAGTGCATCCCTGGGAATGCTCGCTGCC